GCGCTGGGAGGGAGGAGGGGAGCCGCCGCTTCCCCCAAAGGGGGCCCGGCCGAGCTCGAGAAGGGCTCCCCGAGCAGCCTCAAAACAAAAACCGTGTCTGGAGAATTGGGCAAATCCCCAAGACCCGCCGCGATCCACTTTAATACAGTGGGAGACTTGTGGCCCCTTTGGGAGCTAGTCTGGGTTTTCCTGGCAGTTAAGACTTGCGGTCGGACCCTTCACTGGGGCCATTTTATGTCTAAGAAAAAAGGACGAAGGTTGAAAAGTATTATCTCGGTTCCTTCGGAATCGGTAAAATGGCGAAGGGGAAGCAAAACCCCCATCGTATCTTCGACTGGCAAAAGCACCAAAACAAACAAAAAAAGCCTACAGTGGTCAAAGTGCCCCTGTGTTTCGCCTTAATATTTGTCTACTGCTCCGTTTGCCCCTTTTTGGTTACTTGCGATCACGTAGGTTTGCAAAAAGCAGTCACATAAATAACCTTTTCAGTCCCCAACGCAATGTGATCACTAGTCCCCCCGACTCTCTTCTTTTTATTGTGACAATAAAACACGTTTTTGCCCGGTCCCGAATGCCGCAGACCAGCCCGCGGCCGCCCGACACCGTACCGTTGGCGACTCGGGTCGATCCATCATGGCTGCGGCCGCTTAGCCTGCTTTTCAGTCCCTGAGCCTTGTGGTCCTCCTCCCTTTGGCTGCCCTGTTTATATAGAGCCATTGCCGCTCTCTAATATAGACTCTGCCAGGATGGGAAGGTGCTTTTCAGGCCTACGTCACCGCCTCTCCATTTAAACACCAGATCCGGCTTTAAATAGTGAGAGCGCTGAGAGCGGGGCTGGGAGGTGCGTGCTCCCGAGGCGAGAGGCTGGTGCGTGCAGAGCTCAATTTATTCCCGGCTTCTTTTTTTAGGCTGTAATTCACACTTAACGGGGACTGCTTTCAGAACCCCAAATGTTTGTTTTGATGCAGCAACTGGGACTTGCCTTCACTGTTTGCTAAGGGAAAACATTCGAGATTACTGTCCTTTGTATTTTTGTTTTTTAGTAAGATGGTTTAGTCGTATTTCTTGTATTGGAAGGTGTGTGAATTGTCGGATTTAAAAAATTCTTTCTGCATTGTCAGTTGTAGACTTGATTTGGCTAGGGATATTTTGTTTATCAACTATTCAGGAAACCTGCTAGAAATATAGCTCCTTAAATATTTCAGTATGTTTTCTTTTTTCAATGTTTTCTGCTAATAAATATTGTAAGACAGCAAGCCTTTCAGAGGAATAGATAAGTGACTAAAGCTTTAATATAGGATTTTATGTCCGCAGTACATTTGTATGTAGGGTCATGAGGATGGGCAGATTGAATGAGAACTGGATTTTAAGACATTTAAAAATTCTGTGTTTTTATTGCATTGGATAGTAACATGCTATCTGGTATAAATTAGTTAATCTGCTGCGTGTTGTAGATTTTAAATTCTTTTAATTGCTAACATATTAATCTTTTTGGCAGAAGTATTATGTAACTTGAATCATTTTAGAAACACCAGAGGGACTGAGACTTTTGAAAGGAACCTTGTAATTCATCACTTAATAATGCCACTCATCGCTCTCTGATTTACCATTAAGCAAACAATAATTTTGGCTCAAGTAAAGTTTAGAATTTTCAGTTAATGATTTGGAAATTGCTTATTTCAAATAGTACCTATGTACCTATATACTTTAAAATAAAGCATTACTGTTTTGAGGGTTTTTCAACTTAGTAACAATTCTATCAAATTATTTTTTATGTATATATTTCATGAAGAATACATATTTCCCTTCCTACTCTAAATGTTCGAGTTATGGGTTCATTTAGTGTACAAAAGGAAAATGTGAAAACAAGATTGAGTCATTAAATTAGGAATTCCAGAAGGAGGCACATTTGTGCCTCTAAATGTCTGGATTGCCAAGCAAAAGATTTTTAGGGTGAACTTACTTCAGGAACACCAAAACATTATCTCATTTGCTGAAAAAATTGTTTATGTCATCAATTTGAGATTTATACTACCAGTTTAAGAATGGTTTATTGTACCTTGAAGGTCATTATTGGTTAAACAAAAACAAAACCCACTGTATGGATGTAGTTTTCTAATTCAATAATTAAATCATTGTAGGTGTCAATGATAGAGTCAGGTACATTTTGCTTATTAAATAAGTAGACTCATAATGTTAAAATAAGGAAGCACTGTAGAGATGTACCTTTTAAAGGTGAATCATTTTTAAGTCCACGGAGGCAGATTTGGCAAAATTTAAAAGTCCAGGAAATGAGTGGCACAACAAGGGTGAGCACTTAGATATATGAATTGTTTTTCTAATTATAAAGGAAAGGAAGGAATGGCTTTTAATGGGGGAAGTGAGGTGCACTAACAAACTCAGTTCATATTTTTGGCCAAAGAAGGGTACATTTTCTTTGAGGGTTCCTGTTTTTAGCAGTACTGTTGATGGGAATGCTACTGCAACATTTATTTCTCTTTGAGGTTTGCATAGTAGAATAAACCCTTGGTTTTATTGGGCAACCAGTAACTTTCACCTTAAACAAGGCAGAAAATACAAATAATTAAAAAAGAAAAGAAATTTTGACCTTAACTGTACTAATAAATCAGCTCTAGTTTACCAGCTAGGGTGCAAACTTACTTTTTGTCTAACATGTTAAAAAAGTAGGATATGGTTTGGGCTAATTGTTCAGTCTTGCACCTTTTAGTTTTTTTAAAAAACACTTGGTGTTTGAAAGTACTTTCATACCTGTTCTCATTTTATCCTTCTGACAAACTTCTAAAAGCTAGCTGCGATATAATACTGAACAATGTACCAGCAACAATACCCCCACATAATACCAACAGTAACAGTAATAACAAATACTGAAGGTATTCATGATTTCTGTTCATAACTTCACTTGGGCAGTAGAGGAAGGAGAGAGATCCAGGGAAAGACATCCTTGTAACTTGTTCCTCTGAGAACTAGAGACCTATTTTCCTGGATGTGTGAACAATTTAGTGATACAGCTTGGGGCTGTAGACTGGGTCACAAAAACAGAAGTTAGGTAGGTGCTTCTGACTCACAGTAATAAGTCCTCCTTAGTTGAAGATTATTATCAGAAATGACTGCAGGACATAAGCTTCTCCAAAATCTGAGACTTCAGTGGCAAGCTTATGACATAACAGCATTCACACCAAGCAGGGAATAATAGAAACCAGACATAAACAACCTGTGAAGTTATTGAGTATCACATGAGTTGTTTTGACTACCACACAGGAGATTGTATGGACCTTGAATGTATAAGGACACTTGTCTTATGAGTTGCATTAAATAGTTTATACACTTGTGTTAAAATACATGGTCATTAAATAATTCAATTCTGTATTACCTTTCCAAGGAGCTCTGGTGGTACAGTGGTTGGTTAAGGTATTTGGCTGCTAACCAAAAGGAGAATGGTTCAAACCACTATCTGCTCTGCAGAAGAAAGATGAGGCAGGTTGCTTCTGTAAAGATTTACAGCCTTGAAAACCCTGTGGGGGTCTCTGTGAGTTGGAATCTACTCGATGGCAGTCGGTTTGGTTTATATTACCTTTTCAGTTAGTCCTGTTGAGCTAAGGCATATGATGTTCATTAAGTTGTCCATATCTTTAGTCATATCTTTTAAAGTAGCTTTTCGATAGTTGTTAAAATGACTGTTGTGTTAAATTTGTTTTGTATTTGTGAGAACTTATTGTGCATTTATTATATGAAAAAGTCTTTTTCAACAGTCTTTCATTAATCTTTTACAGCCTAAATTATATAGATCTGTGATTGAAGATGTTATTAATGATGTGAGAGACATATTTCTGGATGATGGAGTAGATGAACAAGTCCTGATGGAATTAAAAACTGTGAGTTTGCTCCCCCCCCCCCAAAAAAAAACATTCTCTTTATCCAGAGAGCTAATCCACAGTTCTTTCATAGCATGAATGTTTGTCTTTATTGCAGGAGATAGTGTATAGTTCAGTGAAGGATGCTGGTTTTGGTGTCTAGGTGCTTGGTTTAAATTCCAGCTCTACCATCTATTCTTCCTCTGACCTTGGGAACGCTATTTCCATATTTCAGTTTCCTTATCTGTAAGATGGAAAGTAGTAGTACTTAGTCAGAGTTGTTTTGAGGATGATATAGAATAACCATACAAAATGCTTAGCACAATGTCTAGCAATACCATTAGCTATTAATGGATAACAAATATTCTGTGTTTTATTGTCAAATTACTTGACATTCTTGAACTAAGTCCTCCTTAGTTGCAGATTATTATCAGAAATAACTGCAGGACATAAGCTTCTCCAAAATCCGAGACTTTAGTGGCAAGCTTATGACATAACAGTGTTCACACCAAGCAGGGAATAATAGAAACCAGACATAAGCAGCCTGTGAAGTTATTGTCACATGAGTTTTTTTTTTTTTTTTTTTAAATGTTCTTAATACACCTGCATTCTAAAGTGTGTGTTAAGTTGTAGGCATTGAATGAATGCTTGATAAAAGAGTTTCAGGTTCTTGAGACAAATCCTTTATGCGGGCCATATGTCAAACTTAACAGTGCATTTTATTTGGGGAGTTGGATTACTGTCTCTTGGATTTCCTTGGCTTTAAGCAGAAATATTTAGATATTTTTATTTAGTATTTGTATTTTTCTGGTGTTACAATGGCTCATGAAATCATACGGACTATTTTAGCCCTGTTCCTTAGAATAGTAATTCTCAAGTGTGGTCCATGTACTACTGGAGGTTCCCCTAATCCCTTTCAGGGGGCTTATGAGGTCAGCCAAATGCAGAGTCTGAATAACTGTAGTTTATTCATCATTCTTTCAAGTAAAAGTTGTGCTCTGTGGGAAGAAAAGTGGCTAGTTCAACTCATAACTCAAATGCTTAAGTGCTATTTTCCTTTAAGCCATTTCTCAAAGTGATAAAGGGTTCTGAGACTAAAAGTAAGTAATCATACTGAGGGCTGTTTGTTGTGGTCTTAGTTATCCATTCAACCAAGGTGTGGAGTGTATAACTTAGAAATTCATTATAAATCAAACAAATCTGACCTTTATTGTGGTAATAAAATCTTTCATAGCATGTTTAGATGTCTGTGGGCAATTTCTCCAGTTTTCGGTAAGAATGTCTTGTAAAGGAAGAAACAAAGTAATACATTTAAAAATTAGGAAATGTTTATTTACTTTCAAGAAATATAATGGTTACTAAAAGTAAAGATTACAAACCAAACCAAACCAACCCACGGCCGTGGAGTTGGATCCAACTCATAGCGACCCCTCTCCTTGGGTTTCCAAGGTGGTATCACTATGGAAGTAGACTGCCCAACCTTCTTTCCAAGGAGTGGCTGGTAGGTTTGAACCGCAACCTTTCTGGTTAGCAGTCAAATGCCTTACGCGCTATGGTACCAGAGCTCCTGAAAAGTGAAGATTAGGTATCTAAAAATTTAAGTGAGAGAGTTTTAACTCTGATACATGAGTTGGGGGAAAAACAGTAATGCAAACTGCTCCAAATGCATAAAATACGCTGGAAATATATGTAACAAAAGACTAAGCTTATATAGATTCCTTATATGGCGTGAATGTTTTGCAGTTTATGTTAAGCTCTTATGATTGTCTTTATAGTTTTGTGAACTTATATAGGAGGTTTTTATACCTTTTTAGGTATGGAAAATCAAGCCCAAAGAATTTAAGTAATTTACCTTAGGTCAAACTAGGGGTCAATTCAGGTTTTTTATTATTTATGCTTGCTTTTCACAATGAAAATATAGGAAATTAATTTTTCCTACTTGACCCAGTGAAATCAGGGCATGGTCTCCAAAGACACCAAATATCTCCAGTTGCATTTTTATTACATTTAACTTTTTTATATATACACATATATATTTTATTGGGAGCTCTGGTGGCGTAGTGCCTAAGGCATCTGACTGCTAACCAGAAGGCTGGCAGTTCAAACCCACCAGACACTCCTTGGAAGGAAGGTTAGGCAATCTAGTTCTATAGTGATACCACCTCAGAAACCCAACAACAGTGAGGTTTTTCTATTTTTTTTTTAGTGTATATATATATATATTTTTTTTAATAGGTCATGCCATAATTTTTAGTTTAATGATTTTAAAGGACAAAAGCTATGATTTACTCAGTTGTGAATCCCTAGCTTCTACTACAGTGCCTGGCACATTTGGCTGGTATTCAGTAAATATTTAATTGAACTGTTTAATAGTAACTATGGCTCTAGATTCAAACTGATCAAATGATTTAATATTTCTGTTGTTTTTAAATGGGGCACGATCTTCTATCCTGGATTATAGCTAGAGTTAAAAATAAAACTACAAGACAAAGTGCGTTTATGTTATTTTAATTCTCTGTGCTAAATTTCTTCAGATTCTTAATAGAATTTCCAAATGAACCTTAAGTTTAATAGTTGGATAGCCAACACTGTCAAATAGATCTGTGATGATGAAAGTGTTCTATGTCTGTGCTTTTCAGTGTAGTAGCCATTGGGCTGTTAAACACTTGTAATAGTTGGATAGCCAACACTGTCAAATAGATCTGTGATGATGAAAGTGTTCTATGTCTGTGCTTTTCAGTGTAGTAGCCATTGGGCTGTTAAACACTTGAAATATTGCTTATGGAACTGAGGAACTTGATTTAAAATTTAAAAAAACTTAATTATTTTAACTTAAATTACTGTGTCTGACTGAAAAAAAAAAATCCACTGCCATTGATTAGATTCCAATTCATAGTGACCCTGTAGGACACAGTAGAAGTCCCCTATATGGTTTCCAAAGCTGTAAATATTTATGGAAGCAGAGTGCCTCATCTTTCTCCCGTAGAGCAGCTGGTGTCTTCGAACCACTGACCTTTTGGTGAGCTGGTGAATGCTTTGACTGGTAGCTAGTAGATAGCATACTGGTTTAGATATTCTTATTAAAAAAATACTAACATTAGTTTTGCATTTTATAGTTTATAAAGTGCTTTGCTATTAGGATCCTCTCTTTGTTTTTGCCATTTCACAAGCTTTTATCAGAAGCGTCCAAGAGGCTGTGAAAATACATTGATGAAATACATTATGAATTAAGATGAAGGGGTGAATGTATGTACTTTGAAGATTAAATGTAGATAATGTAGGAAGAGAAGTGATTAAAAAAAAAAATTAGCCTAATTCTAGAGGTTATCTCTTGAACTATTGTGCATCTACTGTGTGAACTATGGAACCTAAAAATTACCAAACAGTATTAATATCACACACAAATAAAGTTTTGCTGAAGATAATTCAAAAAAGATTGCAGCATTACATAGACAGTGAACTGCCAGAAATTTAAGCTGGATTCAGGTAAGGACATGAAATGATGAGGGATATCATTGCTGACCAGATGGATCTTGGCTAAAAGCAAAGAATGCCTAAAGGATGTTTACCTGCATTTTATTGACTATGCATAGGTATTTGATGTGGATTGTAACAAATTATGGCTAACACTGGAAAAAATGGTAATTTCAGAACACTTAATTGCGCTCATGAGGAACCTGTACATAGTTTGAATCAGGAAAGGTGTGTGTCAGGGTTGTATCCTTCCACCATACTCATTCATTGTGTATGCTGAGCAAATAATCCAAGGAGCTAGACTATATGAAGAGGAATGTGGCATCATCATTGGAGACAGAGTCATTAACAATATGTGATATGCAGATGACACAGTCTTGTTTGCTGAAAGGGAAGAGGACTTGAAGCTCTTACTGATGAAGATCAAAGACTTGTGGATTACACCTCAACATAAAACTCATCACAACGGAACCAATAAGTAGCATCACATTAAATGCAGAAAAGATTGATGTTGTAAAGGATTTTGTTTTATTTGGATCCACAATCAATGCCCATGAAACCAGCAGCCAAGAAATTAAATGACACATTGTGTTGGGAAAATCTGATACAAAAGACTTCTTGAAAGTGTTAAAGAGGAAAAATGTCACTTTGAAGGCTAAGGTGTGCTTAACCTCATATGCATGTGAAAGCTGGACAGTGAATAAAGAGGAGTGAAGAAGAATTGAATTGAGCTGTTGACGAAGAATATTGAAGATACCATGGGCTGCCACAAGAATGAAGAAGTACAGCTGGAATGCTCCTTAAAAACAAGAATGGTCAGATTTTCTCTCTGATGCTTTGGTCATGTTATCAGAAGGAACCAGTCTCTAGAGAAAGATATCATGCTTGGTAAAGTAGAGAATCAGTGAAAAAGGGAAAGAGACTTTTGATGTGATGGACTGCCACAATGGCTGTGACGATGAGCTCAAGCATAGCAACGATTGTGAGGATGGCGCAGGAGTGGGGAGTGTTTCGTTCTATGATACATAGCATCACTAAGAGTTAAAACCGACTCTGTGACACCTAACAATGATGGGACTTATTTGACTATGAAATATGTTTTTGTATTGGTGTATGACAGTGACTAGGAATGACAGTGTGGAAATTCTCTTAAAAGTGAGTGATCAAGGAATAATTGATGCAATTACATTGTGTTGTTGACAAGAGTATTGAAGAGTATGATAGACTGCTAGAAGAATGAACAAATCTGCCTTGGAAGAACAGCAGCCGAAATGCTCCTCAGAAATGAAAATGGTTAGACTTTGTCTTTCATACTTTGGTCATGTTGTCAGGAATCCCTGGAGAAAAAGGGGAAGACCCTCATTGAGATAGATTGACACAGTGGATGTAAGCATTGCAATGATTGTGAGGATGGTGCAGGACTAGGCAGTGTTTTGTTCTCTTGTATGTAGGGTTGCTGTGAGTTGGATTCTACTTGACAGCACCTAACAATGATACCTTAGATGAAATTCCCTAACCTTGGCACAGTTTACACTTTGGATCAGATA